TAGCCGTCCATAGGAGGAGGGACCCATAGCTTGGCTCAAGTCCCAAATCTTATGGAGACACGGCACGGGTGCCTCACTTGTGGGGCACTCACGGCGGGGCGGTGGCTTGGGGGGAGACGGCTTAGCTTCGGCGAGCCTCCTGGGAACGACCGTCTCCCCGGTAGTAGATTACATCCCCAAGATGGGGGATGCTCGGGTAGGTGCAGTCCCCACTGTGGGACTTGGGCGGCGGTGATGTACCGGTGGGCTTGGCCGTGCCGGGGTGATCCGCCGCTCTTGTCCCATGGATCGCCTGGGGTTTGCCCGCGTGACCATCTTTTCACTCACCCAAGGGATGTGGGAGGAGATGGTCGTGAGGATTGTACTTGATCCTCCGGAACTTCGCAAGTACATTTACCTCGAGCTATTTACTTCGAGACACGAATGCCCACCGGGGCGCGGTGATGTCAAGTGACGGGACATGATCCCAGAAGCTGACATTGCCAGCAACAGGGGTCCGCCTTCCCCCTCGTATAAAAACGCGGAGGCGGGGACACGGGCAGGGATGATGATGGTTACTCGAAATTACTCGAGTGATCAGACATCATACAAACAGGGGTCTACCTTCCCCCTCGTATAAAAACGCGGAGGTAGCGGGGACGGAGGTGTTTCTGTTTCGTAAACACTTCCGGGGCTGCGATCAGCCGACAGCGCGGGGGTCCGCCTCCCCCTGAAAATCGGAGAGCGGCTAGGGAACAGATCGCGTGCCTCTGCCGTGAGGATCGGGTAGGAGTCCCTGGTGCTTCACAACAGGGAAAAGGGTTGTGTTTTACCCTTCGGAAATTCGGAAACACTTTAGCACTTCGAGTCACGGATGCCCAGCGGGGCGCGGTGATGTCAGGCGAAGGGACAATGTCCTGGAGCCTGACATTGCCAGCAACAGGGGTCCACCTTCCCCCTCGTATAAAAACTCGGAGGTGGGGACACGGGCAGGGATGATGATGGTTGCTCGACTAACATCGAGTGATCAGACATCATACGCACAGGGGTATGCCTTCCCCCTCGTATAAAAACGCGGAGGTACACGGGCCGGGGGTGTTATCGGCATGGAAACATCCTCGGGGCTACTCGTAGTCGACAGCACGGGGGTCCGCCTCCCCCTGAAAAACCGGAGAGCGGCTAGGGAACGTAGATCGCGCGCCTCCACCGGAAGGTTCGGGTAGATTCCCTTGGTGCTAAGGCAACAGGGGTAAGAGGGGCTATGCTTCACCCTTCGGAAAAAACGGAAGCACCCGGGGTACATCGAGTCACGGATGCCCAACGGGGCGCGGAAATGTCAGGCAAAGGGACAAAGTCCTGGAGCCTGACATCGCCAGCAACAGGGGTCCGCCTTCCCCCTCGTATAAAAACTCGGAGGCGGGGACACGGGCAGGGATGATGGTGGCTTCTCGAGCATGCTCGAGAGGTCAGACATCATACAAACAGGGGTCCGCCTTTACCCCTCGTATAAAAACGCGTAAGGCGGCCGGTGCCGGGATGTATTCAGCATGGAAACATCCTGGTGAGACATGGCATGGTCTGAACGGGAAAAGGCACGTACTCCTGAGGATTCGAGCCTGCGTACGCTGGGTGGTGTGAGGTACGCATCAACCCTTAAGGCAAGCGCGGGGTCTGAGCCCTCTATTCTGCTGGGGGCTTCACCCTTAAAGGAAAGGTAAAAAGACTATGCCCACAATTAGGAGGAGCCCCGCAGGAAGAGTTTCATATTTTCCTGGGGGATCCGCGGGAGTGGCGGCCTTGACTCAACACAGACGTCTGCCTAGTGGAAGATCGTTTACTTCATTATAAATAACCGGTAAACGACACGCGAGGGAAAGAGGGAAATCTGGGAAAGAAACTCAGATATCCCTTTGACGGGATGGGAACCCTAGCAGAGGGAGAACCAAAGGGGGGCCTTCGAGTCTATCTCGTCGTATCCCTCTCGTTGTCCGCCACCTTGTCGTGGTGAGAGGGCTCACCCTTCGCAAGAGGATACTCTTGCGAGGGGTGCCAAGAGCGGACCGTACCTTCCGAGGTACACTGCCCCCGGTCTCGGGGGCACGCCCTCCGTCTCTGGGGGCTCTCCTCGGGCGGTGGAAGAATTCCACCCCCCGGGGAGACGGGGCCCACTTCCCCGTTAGAGCTTCGGCTCGTATGTGGTAAGGGATGGCGACCCGGAATTCAAACGCCCGGTGGCATGGCACCGTTAGGAAAGGGGACTGCACGGCGCTTCGGCGCTTCCCCTCCCACCATGCTCTGTGGCCCGGTGAACCTACCGGGTAGGCGGCTTCTGCCGCCCGGGGTTTTTCCCTCCCCTCCATCATGGGGGGGCCTGCTTGGGGGTTATACCTGGGGGGTGGGATCGGCGGGGGCCGCATCGGAGGTGCCGCGCGTGACTACCCGAGGGGCTTTGCCCGGAGGGTTTCCCGAGGGGCTTTGCCCGGAGGGGGTCACGCCGGCGGAGGAGTCAGCATGGTCACCCGAGGGGCTTTGCCCGGAGGGTTGTCCCAAGGGGCTTTACCCGGAGGGGGCCATGCTGATCGGTCCTCGGGGCCCGTTCGTGGAGCGGTTCCCGAGGATAAGGAGGTGCCTCAGGGTGCTGGTTGGGGGTCTCCAGGCTATGTAGCCTGGGTCCCCGTCCCAGCGTCCCTGGGGTAGGCCGCACCCAGGCCGCTCGGACGTTATCCGAGGCAGGGCTGGGTCGGCGCAGACGGCCACGTATGGTCACCCGAGGGGCGTAGCCCGGAGGGTCTTCCCAAGGGGCACTGCCCGGAGGGGACCACACGGGTCGGCCGTCGAGGCCGCTCGGACGTATTCCGAGGCGGGGCTCGACGGCGAGAGGGGGGTCGCGGGATGCTGGTTGGAGAGCTTGCTCTCGTCCCAGCGTCCTTGCGGCCTGCCATTCTCGGGCCGCTCGGACGTTTCCGGATCCGGGCCGAGGATGGCGGCGAAGGCGCGCCGCGGTTACGCAAGGGGCATAGCCCGGAGGGTGCCGCGGCCGCCCTGCCCCAGGGCCGCTCGGACGTTTCCGAGGCGGGGCCTGGGGCGAGAGAGGTTATCTCCGGTCGGTCGGGACCGTTTCCCCTTCCGAACCGACCGTTCGGGGAGGCGCTTGCCCCTCGTCGAAAGCCTTCGACGAGGGGCGCCCACATATGCTGGTCGCCACGGCGTGTAGGGCAGGGCCGGGGAGCGGCGACCCTGTCCAAAGCGTCTGTGGGGCCCCCCGGGTGGCGCCACCCGCTGCGGTGCCCGCGTTGTCGGAGGCGCGGGACCCCTGAAAGCCCGTGTGGGCGTCAAATCCCACACGGGTGTGTAAGGGGCTCGGAGTCTGGCCGGGGTGCGTTATCCCCCCGGCCTAAGACATATGTCCCCTTCCGGGGGAACTTGGGGCCGGCCTTGGGGTGTGGCCGGTCATGTTTCGGGGCACCCCTTGGCCGGTGGGGGTATACCCTGGGGGACGGAGCCGCAGCGGGAAAGCGGGATTAAACAAGATGAATACTGAGACTAATTTCAAAAAAGAACCTTTGGATGGAGAAGAGACGCAACATGGACCAGTGGAAACACAGGTCCCGGGAAAGAAAACTCCTATGGTTTCGGATGAGGAAAGGAGCTATATAGATAAGGGGATCCTAGATCGGATCCCCATTGTTAGCGTGATGGAACTTGCATCGAACACGAACCAGACCCCGGTCGGCCCGAAAGCATCGAGCAAAAGAAGCATGAGGGCGGTTAAAGACAGAGTGCGAGAAACCAGAAGAATGACAAGAGAGAGAAACAGAGAGAACGAAAGGTCCGCAAAGAGGAGTATGAAAGAAACTCCAACGGAAACGGACACGGAGGTGGAAGATACCGTCAGCATAAATAGCATGAACAGCGAGGGCCTGAACAACGAGGGAGAGGATACCCAAACTGGACATGCACTGATAAATATCTCCGATGCAAACACATTTCCTGCTCTTCCCGAAAAACAACACAGGGAACAAAAACAGGGAGAAGAAAAGGAATTGGAAGGGGAACTACCGCAACCCATGGAACCAAGGAAGCCTGGAGGACCGGTATCCACCGGAGAAAATGCAGAAAAGAAGGAGAAAAAAGCCAAACAAGCTGAAGAGAAAGCTAGGCTTCATGAATTACAATTACTGGACCCCTTGTATACACCAAAACAAGGGAAATCATACAGTGGTTTCGTTAAGAAATCAACAACGAAAAAGAAGAAGAATTCAAATTAGCACCCATCCGGGATTTGGAGGCTATGGTGTCCAAAAAGGCCATAGCTATCTACAAGATAGCCGTACAATCAGGGAACCTGAAAGGTACGCTCACCAAACACGCCAAAGATGCAGCCGCCGACATGTGTGCAGCGGCCACCACATTGGCTGTGAAGGCTCAGAATCCGAAAGAGATACCGTTCGGAAAACAATTGGAGAAATTGCGCCATGAAATATATCAGCTTAGAATAGAAAACCAGCAGCTGAAAGACAAAATAGCAAAACTGGAAAAGAAAAAAGCAAGAACAATGCCCCATCCAAAGGATAGTGAAATGGCAGAGGAATTTCCGCTCTACACAAGCAGCGAAAGCGCCAAAACTAGGATTAGGAGATGGGTCGAGGGAACCTCACTTCCACACAGAGGTGGGGAGGCCCCCACGACCCGAAATTTCGAGGAAACCCCACTTCCACCTCGCGGTGGGGAGGCCTCCTCGAGGGAGAATGTTGAAATGCGGGGGATCTCACTTCCACCATACGGTGGGGAGATCCCGAGCACTTCAAGAATACAAGGATAGGAGACAGGGAGGAGTGGATGGAGGTCACGGATGAAGAGGATGTCCTGTCACTCCCATACAAGACAAACCCCTGGACCAAACAAGAGAAAGGGACCGCCACTCCCCCCCCAAGGCAGAAAATCTGCAGATAACAAGGGGAGGCAAAGACTATGCCATCACACAAAGAAATGCGGATGAGGAAAAGGAGAAGGAGAAACACATGGCCTGGATTGCCATGATTGAGGGAATTATAGAGAGGACCCTGGACAAGAGGTTTGGGTGCCAGGTCCCCACGTACGGGGAGACAATAAGGAATAGGGGAATACAGCAAGCGAAGAATAAGCAGGTAGCCCCAACAACAGGGACTACAGCCAACAAGCCAATTGTGAAGAGAGTGGAGGTGGTACAAAAGACGGTAAGAATAGCGCCAAATACCACTATTACCACACTAAACCCTCCATCACGACCAGCAAAGGAGAGGATCCCCCAACCCCAAAGGCCGAAAGAGGCAGCGACAAAGGAAGGGGACAAACTACCCCTACCAAAGAAAAACAAGGGGAAGAAACAGGAAGGAAGGAAAGAGAAACCCCAACCCTTAAGAAAGGGGAAATCTCAAACCCAAAACCGGGGAAAGGAGACACTAACGAGCGCAACCTCATGGAGCGAAGTTGTGTCCAAAAAGAATAGGAGAGCAGGAGCCGCAGCGGCAGCCGTGAAGGAGGCGGGGAAAAGGAAGGAAGGGGCGGAGAAGATCTCGAACCCAAACCCAACTCCCCCGAAACCCACCGCACAAACACGAGCAACTGCAAAAAGGAAGGAGCCGAAAAGAGCGGCCATCACAATAACGTGCCCCCCGGGACATATGAGGAAATCCTCCGGGAGGCACGTCAAAGGATCGACACAAGAAGACTGGGCATAGAAGGTGCAAAAATAAGGAGAGGAGTCACGGGCTCCTTCATCCTGGAGATTCCTGGGCCGAACAGCCACGATAAGGCAGACAAGTTTGCCCAGGAACTAAGACGGGTGCTGATGGGCAGAGAAGGAGTCCACGTCCAGCGCCCAACAAAGATGGCGGAGCTCAGGCTTAGGGGTTTGGATGAAACAATCCAGGCCCCTGAGGTGAGAGAAGCAGTAGCCGTGGCCGGAGACTGCGAGGAGGAGGAAATCCAGACCGGGGAAATACGGAAAACCCCCGGAGGAATGGGGATAGTGTGGGTTCGCTGCCCATTAAAAGCGGCGAACCTCATTATGAAATCAGGGACAATGAGGATTGGATGGGCAATTGTGCGCGCAGAAATACTCGAGGCAAGACCCCTCCAGTGCTACAAATGCCTGGAGGGGGGACACGTGCGCGCACGATGCCCGAACAATGTAGACCGCAGTGGTAGATGTTACCGCTGGGTCCGGCGGGCGACGGACTTGGTGAAATCATTCGGTCGTCCGGAGGTGTCGCCCGTCCCGGAGGTGCCGTCCGTCCCCAAGTTGATGCCGGCCGTTATGTGGTGCCGCACGTATAATCATGCCCGTAACGAGCCGTCTCGGTTGCCGCGCGCGTGATTTCGCATCGGGCGAGTGTTCCGTACCGTAATCGCGATCACCGCAGCTTGCGTGTTGCGTATCATCCGTAATAATTCGAAATATATGTCTCCGACACGTGGGTTTGAGAGACACGTTTCGAGTTAGTAATCGGACAGCGCCCTCATGTCGAGCGAGTGCCGAATAGTAAGTAACTTTCGTCCGAAACGTTTTTACGTAGCTCTCCTCGTTGCGGCGCCGTAAATCGTCGTTAAGTGTTCCGGAGGTACCGCCGGCGGTCGTCTGACTTCGAAAGATCATTTCGTCCGGAGGTGCCGCCCGTCCCGGAGGTGTCGCCGGTCGGCCGTGGTTCCCGGAGGTGTCGCCCGGCCCGGAGGTGTCGCCCGGTCCGGAGGTGTCGCCGGTCGGCCGTGGTTCCCGGAGGTGTCGCCCGGCCCGGAGGTGCCGCCGGTCGGCCGTGGTTCCCGGAGGTATCGCCCGGCCCGGAGGTGTCGCCGGTCGGCCGTGGTTCCCGGAGGTGTCGCCCGGCCCGGAGGTGCCGCCCGACCCGGAGGTGCCGCCCGGCCCGGAGGTGCCGCCCGGCCGTCGGTGCTTATACCTTATTGTCCCGGCATTTCGTTTGTTTCCTTCTTAATTAATGCTAATTATCGTTGTTTGACATTCGCCATACGGCTATCGTGATAATATTTTATCGTACAATAGGACTTTTCGATCGTTCGCTCTCCGCGACAATGTCTCGATTGAACGCGCCTTTCGGCGCTCGCGCTCGCATACGGCCGTGCGTAGGACCGTGCGTCGCCGACCGCCTGGCCGGCCGGTTGGGTACTATAAGAGATACGTCGCGCTCGGCGCGTCGAACGAGTCGAGCGAGTCCGGACGAGTCGTAAACGTACTTTCTCGAGTCTCTCGCCACTCCGGCGTGTTTCGACCGCTCTCCGTACCGTCGCCGACCGCTTGGCCGGTCGGTTGGGTACTATAAGAGGTAGGAGAGATTAATATTGTACGTGTCGCGCTCTCGACGTTGACAAACGAAGAATCGCCCGAACGGGTCGAGAACGGATTTTGTCGAGTCGCGACTCTGACACGGAGAGAACATTTATATAAAATGTTTGATTTGGAAACCACGAATATATAAAATAATATACGATCGTCGCAGAACGCGCCGCCGCCAAGTCTTCTCATGCTTGGAGGTTGCGTGTCTCGCGAGAACGTACGTTCGACTCTCGCGTCGTCTCGTATTCCTCTTCGCCGGGGATTACGGTGCGGCTCTTCTCGTTCGTCGCCGAACGCGCGCAAAATTAACGCACACTTATTTATTACGAGCACAGCATTGCCACGAGTCGGTGTCGCAAGACCGAATGGCTCTTATGTGGCGCGCACGCCTCTAGTGTGTTGGCCGCGCGGTTCCCTCTCGTTTCGTACGCAGCAGCGGAATCGTCGCGCTTACCGAGCATCTACTCCACGGATACGAGTTTGCGGGAAGAGTTGCTTCTTCCCGCTCGCTTTGTACGCCGTAGCGAAATCTTATTGCTGGTCGTGTGCGGTTAAACGCGTACGAACCAGACAGAACAGTCCTCGACGTCTAAGCATCGCCATCGTCGATCTAGCGTCAGGGTGAATCGCGCGGTCTCTCGAGACCGCGCATCATAACATTTGGGAGAATAAGAACACGAGTATTTTGATCTTGTGGATTTTTGAACGGAGAG